GCTACTTTTGTGTGAGAAAATGTTTTCCCAATTAGTGATCTGTCTGTTTGTTTTTAGTAATGTCTCTTTTGCTGTACAGAAGCTTAAGATATATTTTTATGGATGGGGTACGGGCCAGAGATGGAGGAGAGGCTTCCCCAGAGGCAGAGTGGGGAGCAGGACAGGCCTATTCGCTGAAACCCACTGCTGAGGGAGCAGCGGGGAGACAGGAGGGAGATGCTCCGCGCTGGGGTCCCTCCTGGCCGGGGATGGGACTCCAAACCTTTCTCCTGCAGCAGCTATTGCTACCGCCACCTGTCCAGGTCTCGGGGGTCAGGTCTGGGCGCTGGGTCTGTGGGGTCAGCTGGGTCTGGGGGCTTGGTGTGGGAGGGCCGGGTCTGGGGGCTCAGCTGGGTCTGGAGGTTCAGGTCTGGGCGTCTGGGTCTGGGGGGCTTGGTCTGGGAGGGCCGGGTTTGGATGGCCAGGTCTGGGGGGTCAGGTCTGGGCAGCTGGGTCTGGGGGTTCAGGTCTGGGAGGGCCGGGCCGGGGCTGGCCGCGCCTGGGTCTAAGGCTGTGCGAGCAGCAGGGGCCGGAGCCTGGGGAACAGCTTGGCTGCGTTCTGGGTGGTCACCTCGATGACCTCCTCCACGGGGACCCCTTTCACCTGGGCGATGTATTCTGCGGAGATGATGACGTTCTGGGGCTCGTTCCGCACCTGGAAGAGAACGGACGCTGAACCAGACACCCGCGGCGCCTCCTCAGAGACAGTGTGGGGAGCAGCACCTGGGGCAGGTAAAACCCACGGGCTTGTGTGTGTGTGTGTGGGGGGGGCACAGGCTGGGGAGAAAACCCCGAACTTGGGTCTCCCTGGTGGCACAGGGGTACAGCACAGCACTCTGAAGCTGCCCCAGCCGCCGAGCCGAGTTCGATCCCCGCCCCGGAGGGGACCCCCAGGGCACGGCAGACCCCTCCGGTCTCCCCGCTGCTCCCCTCCGCAGTGGCCTTCGTCCCTCTGCCTGTTCTGCCCCCCACGCTGTCTCTGGGGAGTCCTCTCACCCACCCCCACCTGTGGCCTGCACCCCATGCCGAGCCTGAGACGCCCGGCACGCGCAGTCTGCAGCTGAACCCGGTGACCTGCTCACTGACCTGCCGCCGGTCAGCTGCTCCTTGGCCGGGGGCCCAGGGGAGGCCCCGTCCAGGTGAGCGCCTGGCTTCCCTCGGGGCGACATCACAGTCTGGCTCGGGAGCCGCCACCCTGGGCCTCTCGCGGGTCACATGCGGGTGCCTCACTCACCCGAGGTGGGGCCCCACCTTGGTACCCCTGGCCCGGACACACCGTGACTTTCCTGTACGCAGAGGCTCGTCCTGCGCTAACCCACGCGGTCTCCTTCTTTCACTTTTTTAAAAGTGTGTTCATGCACACAGAAGTGGGGTGCAGGCCAGAGGTGCAGGGGTGGCGAGAGGACTCCCCAGACACAG